TTGCCCAGCAGCTCTTTGTGTCCCCGGGGCGGGTGGCAGTGTGAGGGTGTGCGTTCGCGCCCACGCGGTGAGTCCATCCCGCCACGGGTGCCAGCTTTCCAGGGGTCCCCTGCAGGACCTTTGCCCGAGGGGCCGCTGGCTGGGCCACGCAGGGGTAGTTTCTCCAAGTTGGAGAGGAATGGAGGGTAGAGCTGCCCCGCCTCCGCCGACCCCAGGCAGTGCCCCAAAGTTGGTGGCGCAGGTGCAGCGCCCCCTCCTATCTCGCTCCTTCCAGCCAGCCCGGCCTTAGAGGGTGGGAACCCCTCTAGGGCCCAGCTGGATGGAGGCTCTTGATCTCTAGCTGCCAACTTGGAGGGAGCCCTCCTACGCAGACGCCACCTGGGCCGAGGGGTGTCGATGGTGCGGATGTCCGGGCAGGAACCCCGAGGCCGCTGCGGAAACCGGGCGGTGGGTGGCGGGCGGCTGGCGGGGAGAGCTTAGCGGCCAAGGCACAGAGCCGGGGTGCCCATGTGACTGCGGTGTGCTTGGGAAGAGGAAGCTGTAGAGGTCAGTGCAAAGGCGTCACGCCAGAGCGGGCAGGAGCGAACGGGGAGCCCCAGACAACGGGGGCGGGAGCCTGGGGTGGCCTGCTGGCTGCAGGGACCAGGACAAAGCCTCCCTGTCAACAGCCACCCTGGCTGCCCTAATGCCTGCAATCAATTGCTGGGTGGGAGGGGCAGCCCAGGCCTGGCGGCCAGGAAATGAGGGACTCTAGGGGGAGGGGCCGCTTCTCGAGAGGCGTCTGAAAGTGACGTCCCCAGCCCCCTGCGGGCCCTCGGGGGATGACAGAGGGTGACCCGAGGGCAGATGTGACACAGGGCAACTTGGAGAACTTTCTCAGCGCACAGCAGCCAGGGGTCCCGTTTTCCACGTGTGGGGGAGATGGGGTCAGGGGCTGGAGGGTGGGCCGAGTGACAGTGACCAGTTTGGCGAGATGGCCAAGCTCCTTTCCCGTCCTCTCTGCTGTGAGTGCCCAGCGGCTTTCAACTGCGGGCTGGAGGAAGCACCTCTGGCTCCACCCCACACACTGAAATTGTTTACCCTACACCGATCGGCAGAGGCCTGGAGGGGGTGGAAACCAAGGTTAGATTAAAAAAAGAAAAGAAAAAATAAAAACCCAAGACAGAGAGGTGCTTTTAGGAGATTGAAAACTAGTATTTTGAGCTCTTTTTGGGGCGGGGTACCGGGGATGGAGGGACTAATATTTTGAAGTGCTTAGAAGAGGCCGGTGTGGTCCGTGGGGGTGGGGGGGGTGGGGCGGGGCTTACCCGTGCCTTGGAGAAGAGAAGATAACCCAGGCCTTCAGTCTGGGGACCCAGCTGGGCTGGCCCAGGGCGGGCAGTGGCGCGGGTGTGCAGCCGGAGTCAGGACTTAAGCAGCCCTAGTGCCAGCTTCGTGACAGCCTGCGTCCTGGGCTGTCAACTACACCCCTCCGATGGGGTTGCTAGGCAGCGGGGCTGTGATGTACGGGAAGGCCTTCTGATTTGCCAGCCTGCTGCAGACACATGGTTGAGGCTTCTCCCAGCCTATCCGGAGGAGGGACGCGGGGCACGCTGCCTGCATACTGCCGAGCCCGGTCCACCTGAACGCAAGGTGCAAAAGGCAGCCAGAAGGAGGGGCTCCCCAGCCCTCCCTCCCGCCTTCCCACCCCCTCCGTGCCCCCTCATCTCTCCACTTGGACTGGTTCCTCCCCGCCTGTCCCCGCCCCATTCGTCCTCTCTTCCCCAAACCACGGAAAGGCAAAGTGCAGCGGGGAAAAGAGGTCAGTGGGTAAGCCTGTGTGCACCAGCCTGTGCATGGGCCTGAGCAGAGGGGGTGCCGCCCGTCTGTACCCCCCGGGGCCCTTGGGAGGGGGGAGTGGCTTGGGGGGGACTGTTACCGTTGTCTGCCTGGCCTGGACTTGGAAGCCTGCTTGCTCCGTGCCCCCTCCCAAGCTCTGCCCGCCCAGAGGAGGGCAGCACAACAGGGAGGGGTGGGGGCAGCATTGTGTCCGGCGAGAAAAGGGGCCTCTAGCTCTTGCGCTCAGAAGGAAGGGAAGCCGCGGGGTCCTGCCGCAGTCACAGCCTCTGCCCCAGCCTCTCCCCCTCCCTGCCTGGCAACACCCCCAGGTCTTCTCTTAATCCCTTCACTTTTTGACAGCTTCATGGGTATAATTCCCGTATCATTCGCCTGTGGGAAGTGCAAGCCAGAGGTTTTTCGTCCACCCAGAGTGGTGCAACCACAGTCCATTTCGGGACATTGCCGGCCCCCCACAGTGTACCCGAGCACTTGGTAGCGTCACTCCCACCCCCACCCCAGCCCCTGGCCCCATTCATCTGTTTGTTGCTCTCTCTGGACTTGGACATTTCCTGCAGGTGGGATCTCACTCTGTGTGGTCTTTTGGGGCTGGCCCTGCTTCTCACTGGGTGATCCAGTGGGGATCATCTTGTCATTTAAGTTTTCCCGGCTTCTCATCGGCCAGGGCAGGGGGCGCGTGTCTTAGGCATTTCTCTTCCTCCAGCTGGTTGAATGAGTGAGGTGTATGGGGACTGGTAATTGGCAAGCAACACTGGCGGTTTACAACTGAATTCCAGGGCGCCCAGCTGCTCCAGGCCGGCCTGGAGCTTGGGAGAACTGCGGCTCCGCATCAGTGGGGGCGGGAGTAGAAGGGGACCCAGGGGCCTTTTGGTTGCTACTCTCTTGGGAACTCAAAAGCAAGAAGCCCAGCTTCTTGAAATGGTCACCTGATCAACGGGGCATCCCCTGGGAGGGGAACTCCGGCTAGATTTGGATTTTTAGAAAAAGAAAATCCCCCAGTGTAATCATTTATGAAAGGGCACCAGGTCAGAGGGCGCCGGAGGCTTTGCCCAGCTCGCACCGCAGGTGGTCCCTGAGTTGCTGTCCGCCCCTCCCTGGTTCTTTTGCTGCAGGTACTGTCTGATGAGTGTGAAGGGCTGCTTCACTGACTTCCACATCGACTTCGGAGGCACTTCCGTGTGGTACCATGTTTTCCGGGGAGGGAAGGTGAGTTTCTCTTGGTCCTCCAACTTTCGCTGTTTTTCTGGCTCTCTTGTGTCCCGAGGGGTCACCTTTTCCTCTCCCCCCTCCTCCTCCTCCTCCTTCTCCTCCTCCACTTCCTCCTCCTCCTCTTCCTCCTCCTCCTTCTCCTCCTAGGGCCAGCCCTGCCCTTTTAGGCCACTCCATCCCCTAGGCCCCCCTCCTGGCTGTCTGCCTCCTGGAGGCAAAGGTCAAGGTCACCTATTTTGTATCACATCTTACCCAGTGTTCTGAGCACCTCAGGCCACTTTGAAGCTCAGTCTGGTCTGGTTCTGTGTGTCGCCCCTGGCTGTCATCTCAGCGCTGGCACTGAGACCTTTAACTCCAAAGTCCAGTTACTGGCCTCACCTGCCTACAAGATACACAAGATGCGGGCATCACCCTGAGGAGGGAGATGTGGGGTGCCCAGGGTGCTCCTGCATTGTCCGTTTTGGCTGTCCTGTGGGGACTTACACATCCCTGCATGGGTATACTTCTTCTTGAAAGTGCTTGTGCAGAGTATGGTGGCGCACGCCTGTAATCCCAGCACTCGGGAGGCTGAGGCAGGAGGATCGCTGTGAGTTCGAGACCAGCCTGGGCTACATAGTGAGTTCCAGGTCAGAGTCAACTAAACAGTGAGACCCTGTCTCAAAAAACTGAAAAAAAGAAAAAGTGCTTGTGTGCCAGCCATCCTGTGTGCTTGTTTTATTTACTTATTTATTTATTTAGGTTTTTTGAGACAGGGTCTCACTATGTAGTTGAGACTGACCTGGAACTCACTATGTAGCCCAGGCTGGTCTTGAACTCACAGCAATCCTCCTGCCTCAGCCTCCCGAGTGCTGGGATTACAGGTGTGCGCCACCACGCCTGGCTATGTGCTTGTTTTAAAGTGATGTGTTGGTAGAGATTTCTGGGAGGAAGTCAACCTGTTGGATTCCAGATGTTTTTTCTCCTTCTCCAAAGTGAGCGAAAGCTGGTTTTGTTTATTGGGCCGTTTTATCGTACATAGGAAATTCCCTTCTTCTCCTTCCCCACGTCCCCGACACGCCTGTGGCTCAGGCGAGAGACTGTTCCAGCCGCTGCAGGAAGTTCTCCTCCGCTGGTGTTCTGGCTGGAGTGGAGATTCCCTACAGGTGGCAGAGCCCTTCCTGCCCACTTTGGCCTGATCTTGAGGCCCCTGGACGATGGATTCTCCCTTCTCGTCCCCTCCCTGCCCAGGTGGGGCCGTCTCTGGGTGATAGAGACTGGCTGACCACCTCCTTTTCCTCCCTAGATCTTTTGGCTGATCCCGCCGACCCTGCACAACTTGGCACTGTACGAGGAGTGGGTGCTGTCAGGCAAGCAGAGTGACATCTTTCTGGGAGACCGTGTGGAGCGATGCCAAAGAATTGAGCTGAAACAGGGCTACACGTTTTTCATCCCTTCCGGTACGTTCCGAGAGGCTGCTTGGCTCTGTTCAGCCCCTGGCTCCTCCTCCCTTCCAGGCAGTGTCCTGGGGCCCTGGGGCCAGGTCAAGCGCAGGTTCCTGTGGGCCTGGTGGGTTGGACTGGCCATTGGCAGACCAGCCTTGGCCTTGGGCAGCGGGAGAGAAAGTGCAACTCCACACCCCTGCCCTGTCCCTTGGACAAAGCTTCAGGCTCTCCCTGGGGGAGTTTCAGGGTCTTCCCCAAGACCCGCCCTCGGAGATTTCTGTGTGAGAGGCTGTTCCTTTGGGTTCAGACGATGGGGTGCGTGCTTGCCCCCCCGCCCGAGGACTTGGGTAAGGCAACGCGCAGCCTCTGCTGGAATTTTGGCTTTGCTTTTTAGGAGCTGTGACTTCACCTCTCTATGCCTTAGTTTTGTTTTTTATATGTTTTTGTTGTTTGATTTTTTGAGACAGTCTTGCTGTGTAGTTCAGGGTGGCCTTCAGCTAAATTACTATGTCGCCCAGGCTGGCCTTGAATTTAAAGCAATCCTCCCGCCTCAGCCTCCTGAGTGATGGGATTACCAGTGTCTGCCACCATCCCCAGTGGGTGTTCTCTGTAAATTTGGAGTAAGATCTCCAGGATTATAGGCTGAGTCATTTGTGGATGTGGCCAATGACCCAGGAGTCAGGCAGGTTGTTCTTAGGCTATATTAATGGAAGCATTCTCCCCAAGATGAGGGAGGTGACCATCCTGCTTCTAGAGCACAAAGAGGTCAGATTACACATGGGAATTGTATACCTCTTGCTTGTTTTATACTTTGGAGGGGCAGTTGGCCCAAAGAGAGAAGAGTCTGGAAACCACCTCTAGTGAGAGGAGTTTGGAGGGAGTGCTGAGCTGGGGCACTTGGTAAGGGGATTATGGTGGCTGCTGTTAGCTGGGTGGCAGGTTGTTGCCTGGAGGAAGAGGAATGCTCAAGTGGCACTGGCGTGACTTGCTCTGCTAGGGAGTGAGCTGTTCATCACTGGAGGTATACAAGCAGAAACTAGTTTCAGGTGTGTCCAGGCAGTTTCAGAGAACCTTTCCCTGGGTGGAAGCTCAGACTGGAATACTTTGAGGCCGCCAAGGTCCTTTGGATGGAGAAGCTGACACACATAGGCTTCTGAACATTGGGTCTGGATGTGCAGTGTCCGTAGGTGAGGATGCGGTAGCAGTTCCCCCTGCGGGCTCTCCGAGAAAGGTGGGCAGAGGAGACACTGTCCTATTGGAAGATTGGGGATTTGCAGGCGAGGGTCCAGTTGGGGTGACTTTGTCTCTGTGGCCCCAGGTCATTCCCCTTGGCCTGCTGAGCTCAGGGAAGGGAAGGACCCCTGCTTCTGCTGGAAGGGACTTGGTGGCAGGGCGTGGTGTTGCTCTACAGGTGCAGCGCGGTGGTGGGGAGGAGTGGAGGCTTCTGCTGCCATGTGCGCTCCAGCCCCGCGGGTGTCGGCGGAGCAGGCCTGCTGCTGGCTCTCTGTGACCTGGGGTTTTCTTCCTCTCTGCACCTAAGTTGTATATCTACCTGGGAGCGGGCTGGGGCTGTTGTCTGGGACCCTCAAGACCCCCCAGCCCAGACCTTGCACTGCTGACCGCTAGAGACAGGCCTGGGCCCCTTCCTAGAGCTGGGAGGGGCCCGCTGCACGCCCCCATGGGATGCGGGGCTGAGTCCAGTGACCTGAGCGAGCAGCGAAGAGCTTGGGAGGCTGCATTCGGGCGTTCTGCCGCAGAGCTCCACCCCAGCCCCACCCTGAGAAAAGCTGGGAATGGGTAGAGTTGCTAAAGATGGGGATTACAAGCAAGAGGCTGAGGGTGTAGCTCAGTGGTAAATACCATCACAAAAGAAACAAACGAGAACCAAGAAGCTGGGGGTGGTGGCACACACCTGTGATCCCAGCAGGGAAGCTGAGGCAGGAGAATCGTCTTGATTTCGAGACCAGCTGAGAGACCTTGTTTAAAATAAAAACACAAAAAACAAGAAAAAGCCCCCATCATTTAGCACTGTTGTTTGATGGCTGTCCTGATAGTGCACAGCTGGGTGTGCAGCCAAACCTTGCACCCCAGAAGGTAGGTTCCTGCACCCCAGTGGATTCCAGCATCCATCTCTGCAAGACTTGTAACACCTAATGCATGTAAATCTGTGTAAATACTTGTTATGCTGTATGTAGGGAATGACAGGAAAACAAGGTCTGTGGATGTTTGGTATAGATACAGTCCTTCTCCAGACCAGATTTTTTTTGTACTGAGGATTGAATTTGGGACCTTGTGTTTGCAAGGCAGCAGACCAGATTTTTTTGTTTGTTTGTTTGTTTGTTTTTTGAGACAGGGTCTCACTATGTAGTTCATACTTACTGCTCTGGAACTCACTGTGTAGCCCTGGCTGGTCTTGAACTCACCGCAATCCTCCTGCCTCAGCCTCCCGAGTGCTGGGATTACAGGTGTGGGCCACCACGCCCGGCAAGATGTTTTTGATCTATAGTTGGTTAAATGTGTGGATGAGCAGGGAATACATTTCAGATCTTCTTTTTCCCGCTCCCCTTTCCTCCTTCACTTTGGGAATTTTTTTTTTCTTTTTTTTGGAGACAGGTTCTTACTATGTATGTAGTTCAGGCCAGCCTTGAAGCCCAGGTTGGCCTCGGACTCACAGTGATCCTCCTGTCTCAGCCTCACAAGAGCTACCACACATCCTGTTAGTGTGTGCTGCCACACCTAGCTTCATTTATTTTTCTTTTTGGTACTGGGGATCAAACTTGCACCTTGCACTTGAGGCAGGCGGCTGAACCACTGAGCTAAATCCCCAGCTCTTCCTTTAGATTTTTGAGACAGCATCTTGCTATGTAGTCTAGGTGGCCTCAAACTTACTATATGTAGGCCAGGCTGGCCTCCAACTTGTAACCCTCCTGTTTCAGCCTCCCAAGTGGTTGGGATTATAAGTATCTGCCACTGCCATGGGCAGGGCAGCACATGAAAATTTACACCATCTTTATTTTTCTCATTCTTTTGCTAACCAGTGAAAACTAAAAGCCTGAAGCTTTGGATTCCATAGACCTAGATGAATGTTTTGGGTCTTCTGGGAGACTCATGTCCTCTCCAGTGTCCACACCCTCTGATCTGCAGGGAAGCCCCGCTCCGTGTGTCTGTGATTTGGGGCAGGTAGCTGGTGGCTTTGGGGGAGCCAAGAGGGATTTGTGGCTGCCCATTGAGAGTTTTTCTGCATCGGAGAATCTAGTGCTAGTGTTTGCCACCTGGGACCTGGTGCGACTCTCACACGCCTCCTCCCACCTCACACTGTCGTCAGATCTCCCCATCTGCCGCCCCGAGAGGCCCAGGCAGGTCTCTGGAGGCTCTGGGGAAGATGGTGGGTTAGGGAGATTTTAAAGGACACAATATTTTTGTAAGATACGGCTTAAGTCTTCTTCCCTGTGAAGGTGCAGGGGCTGTGGTTCAGGGCCGGTGGTTCATCAGGCTTTGGTCCCGGGCGGTCTAGGAAAACTGTCAGGAAGCAGAAATCTGTTGAAGGAGACTGACAAGGAGTAGGTTGACTAGAAATAGAGGCTTGTTCTGCTGAGCCAGATAGCCCTAGATGTGGCAGAGGAAGTTGGAGTCAGGGTCAGGAACATCGAGATCCCAAGGGTGCTGGGTTTCAGCTTGGTAAGAACAGCTGAAGGGAGGAAGTCATGGTAAAGGAAGTTGGGGGCTTTAAGTACCTGGAGAGACCAGATAGCATCTGTTTCTTCCACTGTCCTGAACACATTTATGGGCTCAGTCTTTCCTCTGGCCGTGCCAGTTCAGATGAGCTACAGTAAACATTTTGCATAGGTTATTTGTCTTCCTTGCAAACATCCCCTTCGCCCTTTTAAAAAGAATGATGGAGCCAGATGTGGTGTTGCACTCCTGTAATCCCAGTACTCCGGGAGGCTGAGGCAGGAGAATCTCTGTGAGTTCAAGACCAGCCTGGGGTACAAAGTGAGTTCTAGGTGAGTCCCAACTACATAGTAAGACCCTATCTCAAAAAAAAAGGAACGATGGAAGCCAGGTGTGGTGGTGCACACCTGTGATCCCAGTGCTCAGGAGGCTGAGGCAGGAGGATCACTGCAAGTTCAAGGCCAGCCTGGACTACATAGTGAGACCCTGTTTCAGAATACATAAATAAATAAATAAATAAATAAAAACAATGATGATGGTACCTGACACCCAGGTCCCGCAGTAAATTACAGGGTAGAGTGAGAACACAAGTGTGCCTGATTCAGAGCCCTCTTTCCCAGGCCGCCGTCTGCTTCCCTCTTAGCCTGGGATTTCGGAGACCTGGGCTTACAGGTCTTTTGGTTGTGTGACTTTGGGAGAAAATTCTCCATTTTGTACCATGCGGTGGATTGAACCAAACACGCCCTGGATCTGGGATACTGCGCAGCTCCCCAGTAGGGACGAGGTCCTGCAGCGAGACCATCCTCGCTTCCTGTCCGCATCCTTGGCGCCTGCCCAGCCTGGCCCGGCTCGGCTCACGATGGAAGCCTGTGAGGTTCTCCCTTCGGAGGCTACAGAAGTGGGGTGGATGTGAGGAGAGGGGGCTCTGGATTCAGAACCCTTAGCATCGGTGCTATGGGTGAGACTCTGGGTGCCTCTGTTACCCTGCTCGGCCCCTGGGGTCGCGGAGTTCACCTCCGTAGTAGGTTTTGTGGTTCGCTGATACATCCCTCTTGGCCTGGCCCGAGTAGCCTGTTTCCTGCCTTCCTGTTGCTGACGGCTGTGGCCTGGGGACACTTGGTGAGACTTGTGGAGGCTCTGTTGCCCCTCCCTGGTTGTCTGAGCATGGTGTTGGTGTCAGCCCAGGTCAGCTGGTCGGGGAGGCTGCCCAGCCTGCCAGTGTGGCCCTGCAATGGGAAGGACAGTGGGAGAAACTTCTAGAATCCCTCTAATGTGTGCACATGTGGATTCCTTGTCCTGCTTGCAACAGCGGTTCTCCTGTTTTCCTCTCTGCTCCCTCCTGGGGGTGACAGCTGGAAGGCAGGTGTGTCCGGGGGGGCGGTGACTTGCCAGGACAGTGGGGAGTTGATAAATGTGGGTTAATGGGGACACCGTCCTTTCCCGAACCCCTGTGATCTGTGAGCGCCACCAATCTCCGTGTCCATTGCTTGGACGGATGGAGTTCTTGCTCACCAAGTCCCCAACAGGGAGGGAGTGGCCTCCTTCACGTCAGGCAGACACAGTTGGAGGAGGGTGAGGACCGGGCCGTGAGACCTGGGTGTCCCAGCCCGAATGATGCTGATGTGGTAAAGACTGCGGACACCAGACAGTGAGCTGAGCCCGCTCTGTGGGAACAGAAGTGTGGTTGCCACGAGGCTCAGCCTGCAGGCAGCAGAGGAGGCGGGAGACAGAGCAAACTGAAGCCGACAGTCTTAAAGACCGCAGCCATTGTCTTTTTGCCCAAGTGGTTCTGCGTCATTCGCTCACGGTGGCCTCTGATGGCCCAGGCCACACACTGGGGAGTGCGAGTTTAAAAAAGCAAAGCCTCTGGGTCGGAGATTTAGCTCAGCGGTTCGGTGGCCTGCCTCGCAAGTGCGAGGACCCGAGTTCGATCTCTGGTATCAAAAAAAAAAAAAAGCAAAGCCTCCGTACCTGTCTGCATGTGGCTCTTCATGACCACATTTCCCTTGCTGTCCCCTGAGGCCGGCCAGCTCTGCCCACAGCAGGGAGGCCTGTGGCTGGGCGACCCCAGTAGGCGGCAGCCTCACTGTGCTCCTCCTGGATGGCAGCCTGTGACTCAGGCTGGTGAGTCTCAGAGCTCCAGGGGACGGCGGCTGGCACTGCTGGGGCTTGGGGGAGGCGGGCCGGGCCTCTGCAAAATTAGACACATGGGTGGGAGAAGAGGCTGTCTCACTTCGCTGCTACCCTTCCGCCCCTCTCTGCCTCCTCGCCTCTGCCTCTGTGGCGAGTTTCTCTGACTCCATCCCTTTTGCCCCTGCCCCTTATTTCTCATCCTGTTTCTCTTTTTGCCTCCCTTGCGTGTTTCCATGCTTTTCCCCCAGGACTCTGGGGCAGTTCAGTCGCAGCTAAAAACGGAGTTGCTTCCCTTGCCAACGGCGACTTCATCTAGCGCGTGGAGGGCCTCGTTAGGGCCTCGGTTTTGCGCCTGTAAATTGGAGTTGGTACGGAGCTCTCTGTCCCGCAGCCAGGAACCCTTGGGGGTTGCTCGGCACTCCATGCAGCCAGCCTGAGCTGAGGCCTGGTCGTTCGTACTGAATCAAGGGGGTGGCTTTCTTCGTCCCTAGCCTTCGTGGACTAGGTGAAGGCTGACTTCCTGGGAGCAGAATCCTGAGGGGATCCACGTGCCCGGGCCACAGTCCCTCGTCTGGAAATCCGGCTCGAATGTAATGTGTCTGTCTCAGGGTTTCTGTGAGAATCAGTGGACCAAGCCCTGGAAAGCCCTTGTAATGCTGTGGCACAGGGAGCACCCCAGTGTCCTTCCCTCAGCGCTGTGCCGGCTGTGGCCTATGATCCTGTGGGGAGGGAGATCGTGGTCCCCTGCTTTGGAGAAGCTGCCTTGTATAGGAGAGAGGCCCCACCTGCGCGGCAGAGCCCTAGAGCTGAGCGGAACACAGGCGCCGAGTGGCCGAGACTGCCCAGAAATGGGCCTGGGGCGGGGGTTGATGACTCGAGTTGGGTCCCGTGCCTCTGGCAGGATGGCACCCCTCAGTCACAGTTCTGCTCTGTCCTTCGTGGTCCTGAGACTGCTGCGCTCAGGGATGTTGAGATGGGCGTGTCGCCCGGGAGGGGTCTCCAGCTCCCATCCCAGGAGGGAGCCTTGGTCACGGAAGTCTTTGGGGTGGGGGCTGTGCAGCTTCTGTCAGCACTGGGGTTGGGGGTGGGGGAGACGAGGGGCTGCTGGCCCACGTCCTCCGGGCTGGCCAGCATTCTCGGCTTTCTGCATCCTGAGCCCTGGCTCCCTGTGCCCTCCTGCACGCCCTTGCCCTCGCTCCACCCTTCCAAGTTAGGGCCTCCCAGGCCCTGTGGCTCATCCTCCCTTTGCCCACCCACAGGTTGGATCCATGCAGTCTACACCCCTGTAGACTCCCTGGTGTTCGGCGGAAACATCCTACACAGCTTTAACGTGCCCATGCAGCTGCGGATCTACGAGATCGAGGACAGAACCCGGGTAAGGAGGCTCCTTCTCTCCTGGCGCTGTGCCTGGCCACTGCAGTCCCCCGCCTCCCTCCCGTTCTGCTTCAGGCCGGGCCTTAGTCCTGGCTCTGTGAGGAGGGAGTGAGGGGAATCCTCACGGGAGCTCTCCCTGCAAGGCCTGGAAGTTTCTGTTCACCTCCAGGGTAGAGGCAGCCAAAAATCCCCCTCACAGAAGAGGAAGCGCGTGTTGAGAAAGCGTGACATGTCAAGGACGTGGCTTCCTCCTTCGTGTGTGTGGAAAGGTGGCGGAGGGGTTGGGGGTCTTGTGTTGTTATTACTGATGCTTGGAGGCAGTGGGGCCGGGGACCGGGCTTGGCTGGTCTTGGCCGGGCCTTCTCCAGGGATCCTGGAATCTGGTGAAGGGGACCCAGGCTGTGTGTGCTGGGGCTGGGGGGCCCCCAGGTCTTGACAGTGATCTTGTCTCCCCGGCCCCAGGCTCCAGGCCGGAAGGCTGGTGTGTGCGGTTCCCTTGGCTGCTGGGAGTATCTCTTGAAAAGCTGGGAACTTGCTGCCCCTTCCCCATGCTGGGGATCGCCCAAGTGTCCCCAGGCCCCTGAGAGAGCTTCAGGGGTCAGAAACTGGAGCCCTGGGGCAACGAAGGCCTATTTCTTCTCCTCCTCTTTCCCCTTTTTTGTTCTTAGTCAGATATTTAAATATTTATTTATTTACTTGTTTTCTGATATCAGGGATCGAACTCAGGACCTTGCTCTTGCAAGGCAGGCATGGTGCCAATGAGTTAAATCCCTGGCCCTTATAGTTATTTTATTTCAATTGACATATAATTCGTATCTTATAAGGTTTATCATTTGAAGGGCACGGTTCAATAAGTTTTAGTATATTCACAAAGTTGCGTAACTGTCAGCGTAACTCCAGAGCATTTTCGTCACTCCCGAAAGCAAACCTGTGCTTCTTAACTCCCAGTACCCCCTCTCCCCAGCCCTGCAGCCCCCAGCCTGCTTGCCATCTCTGTAGATCTGCCTCTACTGGACCAGTGATACAATGGAATCCGGAAGTACGCGGGCTCCTGCGCGTTTCTTTCCCGCAGCCCTGGACAGTGCCTGGATACTGTGTCGTTGTATGGTGCACTGAGCCCTTTCTTCCTGGTTTGCCTGGGAGAGAGCTGTGGTGCCCTAGAGAAACATCTACAGAGGGCTGCTCTGGGCCGAGTGATCTTGTTTTCAGGCCTAGCTTTTTGTGGAATCACATGGGTGATGTGGGTCTGACCTCTTTACCATTGCCGCCATTGAAGGGCCTGGGCTTGGGGTTTGGGGAGACCACTTGACGGGTTGGGTGGGCTCTGAGGGTGTACACACATTTCCTGCAATGCCCAGGTCTGGCATGGGACCCTACGAAAACACCTTGTTGTGTGGACTCGCCTCCCTTCTCTGTCCGCCGCCCGCCCCGCTGTCCCGCCTGGAAAGGCCAGCCAGCCCTGGTCTGTTCAGGAGAAAAGCACTGCTGGACGTAAGTGGTCATCTCTCAGCCTGGGTCAAGTACTCTCTGCAGCTCCAGCCAACTGTTCTTTGGCCGGCCCTGTGGAACGGGCCGGTCTGTTCGGTGGGTGTGGCTAGAAACGAGCCATCTAGAGAGGGAGAAGTCAGGCCCCCGACTTTCCAGGCAATTCCTGAAAGCTGAGAACTCAGCAGGGATTTCAAAAGGCTCTGGCAACTTGCTGGGCAACTGTCCCCTCCCGTGGCCCTCCCCTGGGAGTCCACACCCCAGAGTATCGGCCTGTCATTCTCTGAGGAGCCCAGCCCCCTTCCTGCAGTGCTTGAAGCAGGGGCCAGGGTGGTGGGGACCCTAAGTGTCACGCTTGGAGACACGGCAGGGCCCCTCCCCCAAGGCCCCTGTCCCCCCTCTGGGGACCCCATCTGGATTCCCTGGAGCAGGAGCTGGATGGCTGCTGGGGGCTGGCAGGCGTTTTAATCTGCTTTGATTTCTGGTCTTTGGAGAGGGGCTTGGCTACAAGGCCCAATTGTTTATGTTTTGGAAGCCAAGGCAGACAAAAGGCGCTGGGGAGAGAGAGTCCTGGAAGCCAGATAAAGTGCCAGGGCTCCTTGTCAGTGCTGCAGCTTCATTCTTTGCATCCCCATGAGCTCTCTTAAGAAGGTTACAGCCATTTAAAAATAGTTTTTTTCCAAGAGTCCTAAAACAGGGCTTTGCTTGGAAACCTAATGCAAGAGGCGGCCGTGGGGGTGGGGTGCAGCCTGCAGGTCCAGTGGGGCGGGTTTGCCTGAGAAAAGGGATTTGCCTTTGCAGCTGTAGCTGGGGGACCTCCATCTAGACCAGCACTCCACGGTGCTCCCTGGTCGGGAAGCCTCGTCTTGCTGTCACTGTTTCAGTTTTTCTGGGCCAGAGGGGAGGTGACCTCACCCTGCAGTGTCACTGGCCACAAGGTCGAGGCCTGTGGGGACTTGTGGATTCCCAGCCCATCTTTGATAAAATCTTCCCCGTTCATAAAAGTCATGGCAGGAGCTCCCCCAGGAGGATGTGCTGTATGCCTGCTCTTTTCCTATGATATCTGCAACAGTCCGTGCTAAGTAAGGTTGCTGAGGGTTAGGGAAGGTCCATGCGATCACTCACCAAACCGCCTCTGTCTTACGCTTGCTTTCCCCCCCCCCTTAATGGCTCAAGTGAAAGCAGCCTCCCCAGGAAAGGTAATGCAGCATAGCAGTGAGTCTGTTTGGAAACTGCAAACAATTTCCCCTTCCTCTCCCCTTCCCTCTACCATTGGATTTCTCCCCCCCTCATTGATTTTTTTTTCCAGGAGAAACACAAATTTTAAAACACTTCCACCCACCCTCGTATTGTAGTTCTTCAACTTCCTGAGACCCCGGAGTTCTAGATCTGTGGAGACGCCTTCAGCTCTCCTCTCCAAAGGCCACTGGGCTCTGAGAGAGGCCACTCAGATGGGCCACTGGGGACCCAGATGGACTCACTGAGGCCCATTGATAGATCAACTGCCGGCCGGGCCGGAAGCCGTGCGTGCCATCTGCCTGCCTGGCCCTTTGTTTTGGACCAGGTTCGGTTAACAACTCAGTTTGGTGAAGCTCTAAGTTTGTCACCAAATAATATTGAGCAATCATGTGTTTAATGTTCCCAGGCATGTGGCTGAAACCTTTTGAAGGAGAAGGGTGGAAGGCGACAATCTGTTTTTAAGTCAATTCTTTGCAAATTGTGTTTCCTGCGGTCCTCTCTTGGAAAAAAAAATAACAACAACGACAACAACAACAAAATAAAAACACTTGGCCTTCATCAGCATTTGTTTTAACCCAGCTGGTTTCCCTTGGGTTCAGCAACCAAGAGGGGAGATCTATTTATTTTCCCCTTCTATAATACAGCACCTCCAGTTTTTCCCCTCTAATTTATTATGATTCTTAGGCATCACAGTGCCAGTGGAGGGCACAGTGGCTTGGGTCATCTACACAAATTTCAAAAGTCAAAATGACCTTCCAAGTTGTACCAGCCGCGTCTCCCGCCAGCTGTGAGGAGCTCTCTGCCTCGGCTTGCATTTCCAGGCCTGGCGTTTGTTTCCAAATCAGAGCCCCTCGGGCGGAGGATTTAGCTCAGCGGTTCGGTGGCCTGCCTCGCAAGCGCAAGGACCCGAGTTCGATCCCCGGTACCAAAAAAACAAAAAACAAAAAAACAAATCAGAGCCCTTGCTCTGCTCCCAGTCACAGGAGGTCTAGGTCAGCTTCGTGCTGCAAAGTCCCTCTCCTTGGTGAGCTCCAGGAGGCACTGATGCAGGCAGTGCACAAAGACGAACACCGTCCCGGCCCTGACTGAGGCTCTCAGAAAGTAGCTGGAGCCAAGGAAAACGCTAGATGATGACCCAACTCCATGCGTCTCCCCAAGGAGGGGAAAGCATGTGACGGCCATGATCTCATTCCAAAGCTCACCGTCCACCAGCGGCAGGGCCAGCAGATGGACCTGAGTCCCAGACGGAGGGCTGGGGCCCCCTCACCGGGAAAAGGGTGTCAAAGCTACAGAGCAAGTCAGCAAGAGTGGGTGAGGGGCCCAGAGCAGGATGGGAGCCTTTTCCGGGTGAGTGCTTGGAGAATGGCAGAAGATATATTTGCGAGCAGACGGAGTGTTTAGGGCTGCTCGAATTCTTTGTCCCGGAAGTGTACAGTGCTGTCCTTTCACTATCAGCAGAAAGACCGGGACAGGTGGGTGGGACGTGTACTTACTGGACTCCAGCTCCCTGAACTCCTGGGGGACAGGAGCCGTGTGTGTGTGTGTGTGTGTGTGTGTGTGTGTGTGTGTATGGGGGTCTCTACTCTCAGCCAGAGGGCGAAAGAGCAGGCCAGCAAGTGTGTGCATGCAGACGTGTGAGGGCCCGTGGTGGGAGACCTACCACCTTCAGCGCCCACTGAGGATTCAATTGCCAGCAGGCACCTCATGGCAGGTCTGGTGGTATTGTCTCTCCCAGCTTTGGCTGCCATTTCCTCTGTGTAGCCCCTGCACTGCCCCCTTGGGAATCCCCCTGCACCCCAGGCCTTTTCTTAGTACCCGTATACACGGACTCCACCTTTACTTCCCCTCCTATAAAAACAGCTAATGTTTGGCTGTAATCCCGGCAACTCAGGAGGCTGAGATAGGAGGATTGCAAGTTTGAGGCCAGCTTGACTGATTTAGCAAGACCTTGTCTAAAAAAAACAAAAACAACCCAACAAAAAACAACAACAAAAAACTAAAATAGAGGCTGGGCTGGGGAGGTAGCTTAGTGGTAGAGCACTTACTTGCCCCATATGGTCAAGGCTCTGGGCTCAGTCTCCAGTTCTACCGTAAAAAGGAAATACCCAAGAGGGAATCTCCTTGTAGTCTGTGGTTCCAGACCTGCGTGTGTATCTCCTAGTGGTAGGATGTCACAGTCATGCCACGAACTTGTGTCCAAGGAGCTACTGGTGGAAATACGAGACCGGCAGTGCAGCTTGGGGAGGAGATGGAGGTGGACACTTCTGAGGCCTCGCCTCTGTAGGTGGGTGGGGCCGCACCTTATCATTGGCCCTCCCAGCCCGAGGCCCCGCCTCTGGAAGCTAGCGAGGCCACATCCCATCATTGGTCCTCAGGGCCTGAGGCTCCGCCCCTGAGGTAGGTGGGGCCACACCCCCATCCTCATTGGCCGTCCCAGCCTAAGGCCCTGCCCCTAGAGGGAGATTAGGTCACACACCCCCAGGCCCGGCCTCCCTCCCAGAGAGCAGGAGGCTGCTGCTTGGCCTATTCGTAAATGGGTAAGGTTTGCGGTAGATTTCTGTTCAAGAGTGATGGAGAGACAGCAGAGCGTGTGCAAAAATGTTGGAGAAGGAGGAGCTCATGTCTGTGTGGCTGGAATCAGGCAGGCCCCGCCTGCAGGCACCCACAGCGCTGTCAGTAGGTCGGGGAAGAGACTTTCTCTGTCTGTGGCAGCAGCTCAGAGCGGACCATGACCTTCCTGGGTGTGCAGCTCAGGGACCCTCACCCAGGCCTCCACCTCCACCTCATCCGCGCATGTTACTGGCCTCGTCTCCTCCCAGCGCCTCCCCCCGCTCCGGCAGCCCCCCATCTTCCCCTCTGCCATTTGTGCCTTTGCTGAGATTGATGACAATGGCCTGCCCGCCCCAAGGAGCCTCCCTCCTCTCCCCAGTGCCCCCAGAAGCTGACCCCTGGCTGCCTGGTCTTCGCTTGCAGGTGCAGCCCAAGTTCCGGTACCCCTTCTACTATGAGATGTGCTGGTATGTCTTGGAGAGATACGTGTACTGCGTGACCCAGCGCTCCTACCTCACTCAGGAGTACCAGAGAGAGTCGATGCTCATTGGTGAGTGACTGTGCCGTGCCCACAGCCCTGCTGCCCGGCTAGGACAGAAACTCTCCCTAAGGTGGGGCTTGGGGACAGGCCTGGCTTCAGAGGGTTCTTGCGGGTATTTTTTGGTGGGAGTCATATTGAGGATTGAACTGAGGGCTTTCTCCTTGATTGTATCTCCAGCCCCTTATTTTTTGAGACAAGGTCTTGCTAAGTTGCCCATAATGGGCTTGAACTTGCCATCCTCCAGCCTCAGCCTCCCAAAGTGCTGGGATGACCGATGTGTGCCACCGCACCTGGCCGAGGGTTTGCTTTTGGATTGTTTTGTTTTTGGTACCGGCGGTGGAACTCAGGACCTCGCGCTTAAAGGCAGGCTCGGTGCCACTGGGCTAAATCCCTGCCTGTGGTCGAGGCATTCTTTGGAACCATGGTGCTGGGCTTAGGGAAAGCCATCCTTGTCAGTCCTCCACCTAGAAGACAGTTTAAGAAAAGGGACTCGTGACCTCTGAAGGTCAAGCTTGCAGTCCAAGCGAATGTGCAGAGCAGCTGCTCACGGCCCTGGTTGCTGAAGCAGGACCACCTCATAGAGCAGGAATCCTGGGTCATCTTCTCCCTCTGTGGTTGTGGAGCTTGGGGCTGTGCAGTGGCCAGTGCCCGTGACCAGGGCCGTCTCTGTCGTACACAGCTGCGCCCTTGGCCCTTGGCTGGCAGACGCCTGCCCTGGAGTTGCCTCTTCCGTGACCGTGAGCCCCGAATGAGCACATACAGGAAGAGCCATGCTCTTCCCCCGGTTAGCGAGGGGTCCCTGGAGTCACACGTTGGTCACAGGGTGTTTATCATCCGGGGACAGAAACGGAGATTGGATTTTCTCCTTAGAGTCCGAGGACTTTGTCTCCAGCCCTGCGCTTCAGGAAGCCCCTCCCTCCCTTCCTGCAGCCCATCTGAGAGACTTTGGGGGACCAAGGGACACTTCTGCTGGGCTCTTTATTGGGAAGTCAGCGCTGTTTGTGGGGGCTGCTGTGAGACTCGTTCTCTTCAGGTGATGGAAATACCCAAGGCACCACTTGCTCTCAGGGGCTTCCAGCTAAGCAGGGGACATGGGAGACTCTCCAGAAACTATGGAGTAGTCCATGTGCCTGCAGGAGCTACACGCTCCAGTGGGGACTAGAGGCTGGGCTGGGCAGAGTGGAAAGACGGTTTGTGGCAGTTCTTCTGGTGGGGAAGCAAGGGTCCGTGCGTTTGCTCAGATATTTAGGGTAGTAGGATAATGTTCCCAATTCCACGCAAGGGCTGGAGAGGAACTCTTGAGACAGGGTTTGTGTAATTGGTGCCCGCTGACACTGTCTTCCCCCTGTTCTGCCCTTGGCCCTTCTGGTCCACCTGCCAAGGAGAAGGGGAGGTGTCAGGAAGATGCCCTTGTCTACCACATGCTACTTGTGTGCCAGGAGTGGACTTTAGTCCTAGAAATCCTTCAGTGGAAGATTTTAAAAAAAATTTTGTTTTGTCTCGTTTGCAGCACTGCGGATTGAACCCTGGGCCTAGCACATGCGAGACAACTGCTCTACCACTGAGCTACCCCTTCAGCCATTTCATTTTATTTTGAGACAGAATCTCATTAAGTTGCCTGGCTTGGCTTGAATTTGTGATCCTTCTGCCTCAGCCTCTTGAAGGGATTATAGTTGTTTATCACTGTGCCAGCTCATAGAAGTATTTATTTTGCCTGTTCTTTCCCTTCCACTTTTTTTCTTGACTTTTTTGTCTTTTGTAAAGCTGGGGAAAACCCAAGGCCTTGTGCATGCTAGGCAAGCTTCTACCACTGAGCTACATCTCCAGCTCAAACCTTGTATTTGTCCGTTTGCTTTTGGTACCGGGGATTGAGCTCTGGGCCTTGTGCTTGGGAGGTAAGCAGCGGCACCACTGAGCTAAATCCCTGGTCCAACCTTGTATTTTAAAAACCACTCTATTGGAGAGGAGTTCACATTCCATACAGCTGTCTGTGTAAAGCCTACAGTGCAGTGGTGTTTAGTCTCCTCACAGGGGTGTGTGACCATCACCGCAGTTAGGACCTTTCTTCTCCCCAGTCAGTTAGCTGTTATCTTTCTCTCCCCCTTGATCCCCAGCTTGAGGCAGCTACTAATCCACTTTCTTTTTTCTTTTCCCTTTTCATTGTTCCTGTGGTTCCGGGGTTGGAATCCAGGGGCTTCTCACTAAGCTACATCCCCAGTCCTTTTTTTAATCTTTGGTTTTGAGATAGGGTCTCACTAAGTTGCTCAAACTCATGATTCTCCTAGCCAGGCGTGGTGGCTCATGCCTATCTATGATCCCAGCACTCAGGAGGCTGAGGCAGGAGGATTGCAGAGAGTTCGAAGCCAGCCTGAGCTACACAAGGAGTTCAGGGTGCAGCCTGAACTACAAAGTGAGACCCTGTCTCAAAAAATGAAACCAACAAAACGACTCATGATCCTCTTGACTCAGGCACCCTGCCTGCCTCCGCTTTATCTGCAGTAGTTTCCTTGTTAAGGATGTTTAAAAGGAATGGCGTCATACAATATATGCTGGTTTTATTTTTTGGTGGTGGTGGTTGTGGGGATTGAAATCCGGAGTGCTGAGCTACAAATTCAGCGCTCTTTAACTGAATTTTATTTAGAGGCAGGGTCTCACTATACTGCCCAGGTTGACCCTAAACTTTCCATCCTCTGCCTCAGCCTCCTGAATAGCTGGGGTCACAGGTGTGCGCCGTCACGCCCGGCCTTTTGCTTTTTGTGCATCTGTAAAGTGCTGTGTGCTCAGACAGCCGGGAAGGAGCCGAGCTGGCTGCGCAGGGGGCGGAGCTCGGTGCTCACCCCTCTGCCTTCCGCCCCGGCCCCTGCAGATGCCCCACGAAAGGCCAGCGTAGACGGCTTCTCATCAGATTCCTGGCTGGAGATGGAGGAGGAGTCCTGTGAGCAGCAGCCCCAGGAGGAGGAAGAGGAGAAGGCGGAGGAGGCGGACGGCGTGGAGAAGGCGCCCCGGTCTTGCCCCGATGGCCCGGCCTCGCCCGGCGGCGCCCCATCGGAGGAGCTGGAGACCCCGGGGAAAAGGCCCAAGGCGCCCGCCACGCACTTCCTCAAGAGGACGTTGTCCGATGAGTCGGAG